TGTTTTGTGCCAGTTGCAAGTCTGAAGGTAATAATTGAAGCCATCTCGCTCCGCGAAAGCATAGCGAGTTAAAAACCTGAACCTGATGATTTCTGTATAATCTAGGACATTGTAGTGATAATGAAGTGATGCGACCTCTGCTCGGTCTCATTATCCAGTACTTGCTTGGTCTCAGAGTTTTTTTTTTGATTCAGGGAAACAACGTGATTATACATCACGTTGTTTCCCTGAATCAAAAAAAAAATGCTGTGACCAGACCATTACACTGCACCTGCTACGTATGATGTGGTTGAACGCCCATTCACCCAGAACATTCTAATTAGCGTCCTGAAAGCTGCTACTTAGTCAACCGATTTCTTTTCGACTGCTTAGGACTTATAGAGCCGATGTTCACGTTTGATTGATATCATGGTTCCATGTTCATTATTTTCAGGCTGCGATGGCAGATCCGAAAGAATATGTATGCCGCAATACGCTAAACCAAACTCATGTGCAAATGAAAATGACATAGTCATTCATTTTAATTTTCACGCCTGTTAAAGCCCTGTGCAGACTTAAACTCTTTTCAACCTGGAGATTACCGTCCATGGAATTATGGTCCGTGCATACCTTTATCAGAAGGTGCTTTACTAGAGGGGAATTTGAAATTGGTTCGCTCAAACAAAGTCCGTCACTTTTGAATAAATCACCTAGTTTTCTGATCGCATCTGGTCGCAGTTAGTACTAAAAGTTTCCAGAAAAGATCTGATTCACCCTTATTACGGATTTTGAAGCCGGAAATTGAAGTTATCTTGGCTTACTCCGGAATCTTCCCTGGGCCAAATGAAAGGATTTACGTCTGCCTTGATACGATCGGTAGAGATTTGAGACCTGTGAAGTCCCTACAATTCCCTCCTTGTAATACAACATTTTTAAAGCATGTTTTGATATCAAAAGAGACACAGTCTCACGCGGCGAATACGCGAAAGTCGCCTGATTGTCGCCAACGCATTAACTACATTATATAAACAGAAAAAAGCTCACCTGTCCAGGATAACCACGTCATTTTGCAGTAGACGATTCTCTCCTTCACCATGACCTTTGGGATAGAACACGCGAAGCAGCGAATCTTGACCCATAGCTGGTAAATCGGAATTGTCGCTACTCAGGGCATGACCAATTTTACTCAGCTGACTGATAGGTATACGAGTAGGATCATCTTCGTGCAAAAGATAACCGGTATCCTCATCACAGCCTTGTACCTGAATGTGTTGAAGGTTTCGAACATAACGGATAAGGGCTTTGGGTCACAAATAAGCAAAAATAAATGAAATACTGTATATCTTATAGTCTTTTCGTCAGTAACACTCTTATGAGTATGAAACTGTGAAGTATGAAAACTGTCCATCCTTACCTACATTTAGTTGCCCGCGTAAAAACCAGATCTAATGCTTTTACTTAGAAAAGAATCTGCAGACAACCGCCCTATCATACTTTTATTCACCGGTGACTCATACAAAACCAACTACACTGAAAAGTAGAGTATCGACGACATCCACATTGCACTAATTCAGGCCTGCAAGGTCGCATATCAAGTCAGATTTTTTCACTAGCAGAGAAAATGAATCTGACCTACGAATATGAAGAGCACATTTTATGGCGCATGGCGCCATTGACGGCATATAGGCACACGAAGCGCGCCAATCTCACCAAATTCGCTTGTAAACTTCTGTATAGGGGAGGGGTTATTTGAGGCCATGATTACGAATATGACATTCGTTTTTGTTGTTGGCGCTATTCGGCGCCTATTTCCTGCTCGTCTGCGCCCTCGCACTAATTAGATCGCAATCAGGACTAAGCCTTTGAATAGTGGAGGGCTCCAAAGTGAGTAAGCCACTCTTCTGTGATCTCACACACTTCAACCTTTGCCACACGGAGCTCGGTTTTCCCTTTACACCGCAATTACTCCCTTTCCCTGGGCACAGTCTTGGGCGCTTTGAATGATAGGAATAATGAAAGCAGAAATATGTGTTAAAACACCGCGAGCGACGAAAACGAATGCCATACTCGTGATCAGGGCCTCAAATACCCTTATACAAGTTTACAGCGAATTTGGTGAGATTCAGTCATGGCGCCAATTGGGCGCCAGCGCCAAAAATGGATATCATATTCGTGATCAGGACCCTCGATAACCCCATAGCGGAAGTTTCAGCGAAAAATTTTGACCCATTTCACCCCTACTGGGGTTGTAATGGTGCAGTAGTGCCCCAAATTTACTCGAGTTGGCTATTTTCGAGAAACTAGCTAACAAGTGCATTCTCATTGTATTGCTACACTATTCCCAAATAGGGTTCAAGGAGGCATTATTGTCCTTTTCAAAGACAGCTGTGTGTCATGAAGAACAACAAGTCAAATTCTAAAAGGTTCAAGACGACTGGCTAGTTTACCAATACAATGGTAAAATACATCATATACAGTTTCACTTACCATATAGCGCGACTGCTACATGATTCTGAGTGTAATCGGTGTATGTCCGAAATGAATCACCTGTAAGAAACAGCATGTCGTATGACCCATTCCTTGTGGAAGAATTTTGGCATGAAGCATCGCATTGATCGTGGTACTTTTACCATTGCTCGTTCTAAAGCGATCCAACATCAGTCCTTCAAGCAAGGGAACGTACAAATCGATTGTGCATAAGCATTGAAGACAAATCAGCAATAGTCAATGAACACTGAAGTCGGCAATCAAACTTTAACACCGAGGTTTCTTTACCTTCCGAAGAAAACGACTTTCATGTTGTCACGTCTAAACGTTTCCATAATAGTTCTGATGGAATCACGGAAGAGACCGAATTTCTTCAGCTTGCTCGATGGGAACCAGTGCCTCTGCAGCGTCCCCGGCGCCTCCAGAACGAGCACCAATACCTTGAAAGGAAGAATAATACAAATTCTTTCATGGAGAAGAATTAGAAGCTTCATGATTGCTTGATCAGAAAAGTACGATGAGAATAGGGACCCAGCAAGCGAGGAAAAATTGTAAGCTTTGAAGCCATCAAAAGCCCTTCTTCACCGTGCTTTAGGTTGAAGATGAATGGGAATTGTGGTAGGTATGCGTACAGCAAGCAGAGACCCGCACTA